TTTTTATTTTTTCCCCCCCCCCCCCCCCCCCCCCCCCCAAAAAAAAGCTCTGTTTTTTCACACCCGCGCATGCTTTGTCGGTATCTTCTCTCTTTGCCTGCACTCTCTACCTATCTTCTCTCTCATTCTCCACCTACCATTTCTATATATATTTCAAATAAATTTAAAATAAAAATTAAATTAAAAAAATATTTTTTCATCTTAACTAGGAGTAAAAAAATTTTACTCAATGACACGACTCGAACTTGATTATAAATAAGTCAACTCGATACAACACAATTAATTAAATGAGTTGAGTTATGTTTGACTAATATTTGACACAAACCCGTAATAACTCAACACGAATATGGCACAACACGACTCCATTGTCACCCCTAATGTTAGTCAATACAAAAAAAAAATTATTATTTTTATTTTTCATCCATTCAACCAAACACAAAGAAAAAAAGTGTATCATTCTTACTTTTCATCCTTGAAGAATAGAAAATGTATCCCTCTTATTTTTCATCGTTCCTAGTAAACAAAGCATAGGGTTTTAACAGTAATTTTGCAGGGGGTCTCGGACTCTCACTGTGAAATCGTCATCTAACTTGTATACAGTTTTTTGTAGTTTCTAAAAATAAATTTTTGTTTGTGTATTTATTTATTTTTGCTTTGAAGAAATTCCTTAGTTGAAGAGTAGCATCTCCAAACATTTCTACCTTCGGCACCGCAGGGGGAGATCTTTGTTGACTCTGTTGGGTGTTGGAAGCAAAATAGATCACTAAAGATAAGTAAAATAGAGACAAGAAAATTTGCTATACATCTACACCAATTTCACTCAAAAAACACTTCTATATTTTGTAAAAAATGATTACAATATGAAGGAATACAAAGGGGATAACTTATCTGAATTTTTCAGCAAAAACACCCAAGAAATACAAACGAATAAAGTTTCTACTCATGAACAATCTGTTGCATTTTTTTCTAGCAGCAAAACAGATTTTTTACTCTCTTTCTCTCTAGTTTTTTTTGTAGATATACTCCACTGTTTTGGGCAGCAACTCCTTCCCTTTTATACTAATTTTTCCTAGCCAAAAGACCTTGAATCTGCCCATTCAACGGCTAGCAGCCTCCAGACATTAAATCAGATTTTGTCTCTTCATTTTTCCATGTACCAGTATATGAACACTCCTCCAAATGCATGAACAGATCTCCAAAAATATTCTAAACATTTCTAGTGACTATCTCTTTAAATACCATGACTTATCATAAACCCAAAATACAGAAATTACCCTTTAAGAATTGAGTTTATAAAAAGTAACATCCCCACTTAAACTCATTTCCTTGGGGTCTCATGCCTAGCATCTTTTTCAATCTTCCAAACACATCATGCTTTAATGGTTTTGTAAAAATGTCGGCAACTTGATCTTGAGTCTTGCAATGCACCAACTTCATTTCTCCATTCTTCACATGCTCTCTAATAAAATGGTAGTGCGTATCAATGTGTTTACTCCTCTTATGGAACACCGGGTTTTTTGCCAACGCCATCGCCAATGTATTATCAACAAAGATTTCCGTGGGAATTTCTTGAGAAAATCTGAAATAATTTAATAAGTTCCTCAACCATATAGCATGACACACCGTTGAATTTGTAGCCACATACTCCGCTTCACACATAGACAAAGTAACAATTTCTTGTTTCTTGGATGACCAAGTAAAAGCCGTGTCTCTCATGAAAAAACAATAACCCGATGTACTTTTCCTTTCATCCGAGTCTCGTCCCCAATCACTATCCGAAAATCCAACAAGTCTAAAATCATTAGTACAAGAATAAAACAAGTCATCATTGGGTGTACCTTTAATATAACGTAAAATCCTCTTCGCCGTACTAAGATGAGTTTGATCTGGTGTTTCCATGTATCTACTAACCAAACCAACTCCATAAAGAGTGTCCGACCTTGTGCAGGTAAGATACCGAAGACTTCCAACTAAACTTTTAAAGTAAGTTGGATCAACATTTTCACCACTAATGCTCTTCCTCAATTCCAATCCAATTTCTACGGGTATGTCCACTAGGTTACAAGAATCCATCTTGAACTTCTAGAGTATTTCCTTTGCATAAGTACTTTGAGAAATAAAAATTTCATCTTCACTTTGTTTAACCTCAATGCCAAGGAAATAAGATATTAAGTCAATATCAGTCATTTCAAACTACTTAATCATATTTCTCTTGAATCCATCAAACATCATTGGATCATTGCCGGTAAAGATCAAGTCATCAACATAAAGGTAAACAAGCAGCACACTTCCATTGACATCCATCTTCATATATAATGCATGCTTATAAGGACACTTTTGAAAATCATTCTCAAGAAAATATTTGTCAATCCTGGCATTCCATGCACGCTGTGCTTGTTTTAATCCATAGAGAGTTTTTATCAACTTATACACTTTATCTTCATGTCTCTTTTTCACATACCCCAAAGGTTGTTCAACATAAACCTCCTCCTCAAGAAATCCATTCAAAAATGCCGATTTCACATCAAGTTGGTAAATCTTCCACTGGTTTTGTGCCACCAAAGAAATCATCAATCTAATGGTTTTCAAACAAGCAACGCAAGCAAATATCTCGCCATAATCAATTCCGGCCATTTGCTTGTAGCCTTTAGCAACCAACCTTGCCTTGTATCTTTGGACTTCACCATTTGCATCCTTCTTGGTTTTATATACCCACTTCACACCAATTGCTTTGTGACCTTGGGAAAGAGAAACTAGTGCCCATGTATTATTCTTTTCAATTGCTTTCATTTCTTCATCCATTGTTATTCTCCACTTCTCTTTTTGAACCACTTCTTCAAAACATACAGGATCACAATCCATGAACAAACAAAACAAATTCAAGTTACCTTCAAAATTTTTCGTAGATTCATAAATCTCTTGCAAACTTCTCATTTTTCTTGGTCTTTCACTTGAACTTGAATCCGATGATGAAGATGATGTTGGTCCTGATGATGATTCACCTGTAGAAGATGAGGGGGATCCATATGGAGGTGTCTATGGCTCTCTTTGGACTTCTCTTAGTTCTTCGGACTCTTCTTCTTCAAGTATAAGTTTCACTTCGGTGGCTAGAATTTTTTCTTTCCAATCCCACATGTCTTCCTCTTCAAAGATAACATCTCTAGTCACGATCACTTTCTTGGTAATGGGGTTGTATAACTTGTACCCCATTCTTCTCTCACCATACCCAAGAAAAATGAACTTTTCGCCTTTATCATCAAGCTTTATCCTCCTTGTTTCAGAAATCTTCGCATAAGCAATGCATCCAAAAACTCTAAGATGGGCTACACTTGGCTTGAATGAACACCAAGCTTCCTCTGGAGTCTTGAAATGAACACTTTTGATTGGACATCGATTCAATAAAAACACTGCATGTGCTACGATTTTGGCCCAAAATTCTCTAGGCAATCTCTTTACTTTCAACATGCTTCTAGCCATATCAAGAATAGTTCTATTTTTTTCTTTCCGCAACTCCATTCAATTGAGGTGTGTAGCTTGGCATGAATTGATGCACAATTCCATGCTCCTTGCAATAGTCTTCAAATAAATGAGAACTATATTCACCACCTTGATCAGATCTCAACCTCTTGATAATATAGTCATTTTGCTTCTCAATAAGATTCTTGAACTCTTTAAAAATTTCAAACACTTTGGACTTCATTCTTAAAAAGTAAACCCAAGTCTTCCGGCTATAGTCATCAATAAAAGTAAGAAATTATCGATTCTTACCATTTAACATAGGCTTCAAAAGACCACAAACATCGATATGCACAAGCTCCAAGGGGTCGTGATGTTCTTCACTTGACTTCTCTTGAGAAACTTAATCTGTGATGCTTGCCAAGAATATTCCCTTCACATAACTCATCTGGATGATCTATGTAGGGTAGACTCTTCACCATTTTCTTGCTAGACAAAAGTTTCAACCCACCAAAATTAAGATGTCTAAGT